CAAAAGACCCCCAAAACCAAAAAAAAGTCACACAATGATGAGAAAGAGGAGAAACACGGTAAATGAGGGGTTCACAAATGTCTGTTTAAAATTTCATGTAAGCCCACTTCCTGAGATATTTCCATCTGTATCTGTGAGCTAGGCTGCTGCACTGGCTCCATGTGCATTTATTAAAATGAACATAGACACTAATCTATTTTTACTCAATCCCACATACTTCATCCTGATGCCTTATGCACTTAGGAGAGCACCATTGTTTGGTATCCCACAGCTGAAAACTGAAAGCTGCACATTCACATGTTAATTTTTGCCCAGCTGTTTAGGAAAATTATTGCATATGTGATTTATTTATGAGGGATATATTCATTTATATCCTTGGTAGGATTCGTGTGACTTGGAATTGAGTTCCACAGATGAAGTTTAAAAAGCAGTAATCTTGACATTGCTGGTTTTAGTCTTTTCACTGAATTTTTAATACATACATACATACATACATATATATATATATATATATATATATAGCTGGAGACATGCTTCCAGTTTAGGTGCCTAACCCTTCCATTACCACTGGGACCATTATAGACCAGAACATCTGCTCCAGCTGATCCTTCAGCCCCTGATTCTGGTGCTAATGATGCATTTGGATAATGTAGTGAAAATATTACTGTTTTTGGAATAAACCAGGTGTTTGAATCCTGATCAGGGTGTGCATCTAGCAAGTATCCACAGTGCTACTCAAGTATATCTTGGAAAATAAGTAAACATACAGCAGCTAACATCACCCAGTCTGCTTCTTAGAGCACGTGTTTACCCTGAGAACTCAAAGCACATTTTACTACAATCCTCATTCATCCAAATATGCACAACAGGAACCTTTCTATACACACCTTGTCTGACATTCACACACACACCTACACTATGATCTAGGATATTTTGACATGGAGACTGGAGAAGCAGAGGAGTGACCCACCAACCTCCTCTACCTCCTGAGCCAGATGAGCCTACATGTTGGAGAACCTTGACCATAGTTATGAGCAGTGAGCTGTTTTTATGTGTTCACAATAATGGACAAAGGTATCCTGTTTACAGTGGTACATGCTCATTTTTCACATGTCAAATTATCAGGTCAGCATATGTTTAAGTAACCCAGTCAGCCTTCTGAGTGCTCCATGCACACAGGTTCATTTAGTTTTTGGGTTTTTTTATTCTTGACTCTTTATGATGTCAAAGAGCACCAATACTCATAGTATGGCCAGACCTGCTACACATGTGTGGCTGTGAGCACCCTCAAACCTTTTTGTGAGAGACGGGCAGTAAAAGCTGTTTTAAAGCGAAGGAAGTGAAATAGATATTTTTTTCTTGACAGGAGCTGCACCAAAGCAGCGTTAAATATAAATAAGGAACCCTTTGAACTGCAAAACACTTAAATATGTTAATGTAACACAGGATTATGTTAAGTACTCAAATGCTCCCTGGACAGCACTGCACATGAAAATATGATTTTGACCTTTTTCAGATTAGTCCTCTTTATGGCCAAGCTGAGCCATTACAGGCTGTAAATAAAATGTAATGTCCACATGTTCGGTCTCTTTATACTTAATCTTTTCTATCCATAGCATCCAGTATGGAGGCAGTCTGTGTGACTGATAGATGACTGTACTCTTGGCTCAGTTACATTAAAGTGATGGACTTGGACACAACCTGAAAATAAAGAGCCTTGGCCTTATAGCCTGAGGGATTGTGCAAAATGGGAGAAGAGTTACAACCATACTGAGCCACAAAAAGAGAAAGGGAGAGTGGAGTTATAGCTATATGCTCGTGAAAAGTGAGTATTTTCAGCTGTTACAAAAAGAAAAACAATTTGTCTTGTCATTATTTAGTCCAGCAATTTCTCCAAAGAAAAACAAAAAGATGTGAAGTAGTGGATCTGAAGGGAAAGGTGAGTGACACCTCTAATGGTAGAGGTAGTCCTCTCCTCAGGTTGGGGATCAGACAGTCTGTCTGGCACTTGACAGCTGACACTGAACACACCCTTATTAAAAAATAAGGATACGCTCACACACTCCACACAGGTGCACTGTCACATCCATGCAGACGAGCATGACACAGAGCGCATGCCGCTCTCACGTGACCGTACGAGACAAGACATCGAATGCCGCGTAGCCTGGACACATGATGTTCACTCAGCTCACGCACGCATGCAAGCACATGGATGTACACAAGCCCCTTTGGAAGCTGACACCATTTTGAGCAGTCAGGGAGGAAAGTCACATTAATGATTCTGATCACCAGGCTTTACCAAGGCAGTTAGCAGCGAACACGATCCAGCTGGGCCATTTAGACAGAAACCCATGACAGAGGGAGCAGACGGGCCGAGAGAAACCGACACTGATCAAATAGGCTCGTTTTTCTCCAGGCCGCTCAGGGCTCGGTGGAGCTTTACTTCAATAATCATACATCAGACTGGAGATAGATAACCATGCTGGACCACAACAGCTCTGAAATGAAAAGATGTAGGTGTCAGAGCTGTAATATTTTACAGCTTGTTATCTGTGTGAACTCTTATTATGAAGCAGCGCCTGCTTGTCTCCTCTGGCCACATGTTACTCGACTGACTTTCCTTTCTTAGAAAAATATCATCTTAAGGGGCTGTGCAATTATCCAACCAACCTTTGATCATTTATTCGCCTTCAACCTACTCGTAGCAGTCCTGACTCCAGGTTGGAAACCAGTTGGGCATTTGTAAATATGCTTTTTTGGGCTATGTTTTTAGATTTCAAGCCTTCCCCCCCCCCCCACACACACACACACACACAGCAGTGAAATAAAGGTCACTTGTCTTAAATACTGTTTTAATTAAAGTAACAATCTTATTCTTGTTTTCCTATATTTGATAAAAAAATTTTACACTGCTAGAATAACTTGAAATTGGGTTTCTTGGAGAATAAACTTTTTAGGATGAATAACAGATTTATCAGACAGTAGTGTCAGGATGCCTGGGTCGTTGACCAAGGGTTTTTGAGTTTATTATATTATTTATCATTTCTAGTCTTTGGTTTCTTTGAGTTCTGTCTTATGGTTTATGTCTCTGTCTTCTCTAGTTGCTCTGTCTCCCCTTGTCGAGTTCGCGTCTCTGTGTATCCTTAGTTGCTTTATCCCCGTGTCCAGTCAGTGTCTGTCTGCCCTGGTCCCATGTCTCTGTTCCCTCTGTTGCAGTGCCTGCATGTGAGTCTGTGTCTTTAGTTCAGTCTGTGTTATGTTTCCTGTTTTACTTTGAAAGTCCATGTCTTATGTATATGCGTCTGGTTTTGCTTCCTTTGTCTCGTTAGGCCTGATTTGCCCCAGCTGTGTTTCCCTCCTGTTACCCATTCCCTGATTGCTCCCCCTGTGTATTTAAGCCCTGTGTTTCTCTGTGTTGTTGTCTACCCTCATTTATGCTGTGTGTTCTGCCTGCTCGCGCATGTAAGTTTATTTGGATTTTTGTTACGTTTTCCAGCAATAAAAGCTGAGTTTTGAAATACACTTTTGCCTCTGAGCGTCTGCACTTTGGGTCCTCCTTACCACCACTCCTGCCTGCACACAGCCCTAACCTGACAAGTAGCTCTGAAGGCAGATGGAAAACAATGAGAGACCACAAACAAAGAAATAGTTACTGTGCTTGTAATTTTCTTTTCATTATTTTTAAATAAAAAGGATTAAATATACTAATTTAAAGTTTTAAAGGTGTTGGTGTTTATGCTGATCTAACTGGCTCCTGAAAATTAATATTTACCCCTGACATTCTAATATGTTAAAGCTTCCAATGTTGTTGTTTTGTTTTTTTAAACCAAGATTAAGGTTCTTCATTGATTGCAATAAAAATGCCACCAGGGTGTTTGTAAATCAAAGAACTCTGACTCTCTTGATCTCTGGTTTCATGTTCATACCAGATTGGGTTAATTCCGTTTAAGATTGTTGAAAGTGGCATTTTATGCTCCTCACTTCATGTTTTCAGAAGAAACAAAAAATTTACGCTACATTTTAGACTCCTGACAGCAGTCACCTTTGACAAAACACAACCAACTATTTCTTATATGCATGCTTAAGCTCCTGCTGTGGTTTAACTATGCTACTAGCTCAAATGAGGAAGTTCTGCCCTAAACCCTTAACCTTTGGCCTGACATGTTGGATAGCGATAGTGTTTTTGGGGTGAAACGGTCTTCCGTAAGAAAAATTACAGGGCATTAGTATTGCTTCATTTGAATTTGGATAGCTGACAAGATATTTGTACAAACTAAAATATAATTTAGGGTTGTTGTTTTTTACTAGAAGCAAAGGGGATTTGTAGCTGAGCTGTGGCCAGTTTAACTACAGTTGGATTGATGAAGTCCATACCTCTATGTGACCCCTTAACGAAGGAGCCTTTGACCTAATTTCTCTGACTTTTGAACTATTTCCATCTCTGACACCTGTTTCATAGCTTTGCATTACACCTTTGCTTCACTCATCTCCCATTTGAAAGTGAACTTTTGAATGACACTAATGGGATGTGACAGTCAACATCCTGTCAACTTCCTTCCAACTGTAAGACAACAAAACGTGTGGCATGAGGATAAGGGAGTGTGTGACTGCCTGACCAAATTAAAATCTGACTATGCTGGAAAAAATTAATAACTACGCGCAATCCAATTTGAATGCATTATGTTGTCAACAAGCCGCTGGGGGAAAAGACAAGGGAGAAATTAGCCAGTGGACCACATGAGATAAGGCCTGTTAAATTTGTGCATGGCTAAGAGGCTGCTGCTTTCAGACAAGATTATGATTGAGTTGTTTTCATTATTATTATTATTATTATTATTATTATTATTATGCGCGCACACACAAACACACAACGGCACGAGGACTTTGAGTTTCACCGGATGGTCGGACGGTTTGCTCTCTGGACGTCTGGTTTTCTAAAGAGGGCAACACCTGCTGACGTCACCACTACAAATTGCCCATAGCCAACACACACACCACAAACTGGACTTTTGTGTGTGCAGAGCTGCAGTATACGCGCGGATGGAGAGTCAGAAAGGGAGGGCGCACAGAGCGAGACAGCATCAGTACAGCGCGGCAGTGAGCCACGGTCACACAGGGCTGAGTGAGCGCAGTGGAAGGACGCACTTTCAGTTGCACTCCTGAGGGAAAAACACGACTTGCCTGCTGGACGGTGGCGCACATCACTCAGACAAACACAGTCAAGGACACATGTGAGCCGAGTGCGTCTCCACGGAGAACATTTCGCGGACTCTGCGTTCAGGATTCAGGGATTTGTTTTAATTTCTTCTTCTTTTTTTTTTTTGCGTAAGTCATGGTATTTGTTTGGAAACTAAATAAACAATGCTCTCCGATGGAGTCGACTAATTCACAAAGATGAGACTCGGAGGGGGCGATCGACAACATTCAATGGTTCTTTGGTCTCCTCAGGTGGGACAAAGTCCGATAAGCTGCACAAGTCTCACCCACTGAGCCTGAGAAGCGGTCACCTTCTGAAATGATGTCTGGTGGCGACGTGCGTGGTGCGCCAGCGTGCGTGTGAGTGACTGACCGATAGCCTTTCTGAGAAAGAGAGAAAGAGCCTGGATATAAACAGGAGCCGGGATTTCAGGCAGCGACAGCCAGACACTCACCGGCTCTCTCCCAGCTACTCACACCCATGCAGGATGCCCGGAGAGCGCCGGAGAGTCCTGGTCCAGCTCAGCCCGAGTTCATGACGCTCTGGGCGGTCTCGTCATGCGTCTCTTGCCCGAGCCCAGTGCCCAGTCCCTCCGACTCCTCTTCCTCTTTATCTTCGTGATGGGGGTGGCCCCTTCACCGGCTCTCACTGCCGGTTGCCCTGACAGATGCGTGTGCGACGACCAGCTGGTGGTCCAGTGCGCTGGCCAGGATCTTACCCAGTTTCCCAATGACCTCCCCCTGGCCACCCGGCAGCTCATAATCTCGAACAACCGCATCGGGGACCTACCGGCGCTGCAGCTCAACTACCTTTCCGATCTGGTGTATCTGGATTGTAGCAACAACTCACTGACAGAAATCTCCGAGTCCACTTTCGGGAACTTGAGGAAACTCGCTTATCTGGACTTGTCATTCAACAACCTGCTGCAGATCGAGGACCGGACTTTCGGGCCCCTAGCGTCTCTGGTGATGCTCCGGCTGACGGATAACCCGAGTCTGGGGGAGATCCACCCGGATGCCTTTGCAGAGAACATGGCTCTGCAGGTGCTCGATGTGAGCCGGAACAACCTGACGACCCTCAACATTAGCAGCCTGATCGCCCTGCCTGCTCTGAGGTCTCTGGGGCTCAGCGGCAACCCATGGAGATGCGACTGTGACACAGAGGACCTCTGCCTTTGGCTGCAGATAGAGGGATACAAGTTCCAAGGTGAGGTTGTATGTATACACAAACTGGCATTTATGATGGGTTTTAAACACTTAAAAAATGATAATGTATTTTTTACTTTTATATGGAACATAGCACAACACATAAATTGGTCCATATATGCATGTTTATTTTTCAGTTGGCAGCAGTCTTTTGTGAGGTGATCACTGTGCGTTTGGCTGCTCTTTCCTGGAAAAGAAACTATTCTTACTTTTAAGACCTTGCGCTAAAGGTTTCATCATTTGTGGATGGCTTAGCTCCTGATGATGGGCCACTTATTGCACTGTTGCTCTCCTTTTATTCTGATATGTATACACACATATTTCCAACCTCCCCCAGGTGTGAACAGATGCACAGTCAGATGCTCTCTCTTTCTGAAAAGCACACACTCACAGAGAGAGAGAGAGGCTCCAGAGCTAAGAGTTTGACCTCAGAGTCAAAGTAATCTGAAGATTTTGTTCCCCTGCTGATCTCTGCAACACAGTCCCTCCAAACTGCCCTTCACGTCTCAGTAATACCTTGAGTTTACCCCAACAAATAAGCAGCCTCGTGTTGTTCTTACCTGGAAGGCATCAGCACCTCGGCTGTAAAATCCCTTAAACACAGAGGAAGAATGACCCACGAAGAATTTGTGGACTTGTGACCTTCTCAGAGAGGACAAGCTCAGGTGATCTTTGCTCATAAAGGTTAATTGAGCTTAACTGTAAGCAGGTGAATTGGGTTATCGCTCGGGACAATGGATTGCTGTCTTACAGCTGGTGTTCATCCCATCAATGTCACTGCTTTGTTTATCTGAGTCCTGAAGGCAGAGATAATGCTAAGAGGATGATTGTGTCCTTTTGTACCTTTTTTTACTAGCCTCTCCCGCGCGCGCACACACACCACACACACACACACACACACACACACACACACACACACACAGAGAAGAGACTTTAATGAACACACATGCAAACAAAGTGCCCACTTGGGTGTACTGGAGCCACATTGTTGGGCCCCTCAGTCCAGATGGTTAATGATGATGCTCTAAAAAATTGGCCTCCTGTGCTCTTACTAAGGACAACACGTACATGTGTGAAGCGTGTGTGTTTGTCTGTGAGAGAGAGAGTGACTCACCCCACTTAGTGTGGAAGCTAGAGGTTAAGGGGGACCCTCAGGCCAGGACCCATAGGAAATTTAAGTATTAAGGGACACAGAGCTTTAGAGGAAGGCCACATAAAGACAACAAGTACCCAAAGTTGTTATCCACCTTTAGACATGCAGTTACTAAGAAAATCAGAACACATTTTCTAACCCGAGAGCTTCTGAACTGTAAGTGACACAATCCAACACCCACAGCTGAGCCACTCTGCCTTAAAAACACTCACACCTGTAACAGTTAATAATTATGAAATGACACTCATTCATCATCACACCGCTCTATAAAAGTTAGAAACGTGATCAGTGGAGTTCAGACTTTGTTCATTGAGAAACACATATCGCACACCCTCTATCGCTCAGGCTGACAAATCAAGTATGAACGTGGCATTCATAAACAAACACGTAACCAGTTTAACGAAGTGAACGGGGTCAAGCGAGCACGTGTGTGTGTTAGAGCATGTAGTTGTGTTTCTGTGGTCGTGAATGCCTCCTGATCAGACTGCAGGGCTGTGAGTCTAAAGCACAGAGACTCCAGCTGTCGCTACCTCTCAGTGTGAATATGAATCAGGTGCATGCAAGTGTGTATGCTTGTGAGAGTTCATCTTCAGACAGACACAATAACTAATTCAGGATTGTTTTCGGTTTTGCTGCTGATGATGTTTAAGGTTATAATACCTGGATTCAAACCAAATTTAGTTTGGTTTGATTGTTTTTGTGTTTCTGTTACAGATTTTGTGCTTTTTGTCGTTGTTAGGTATTTACATGCCCGTCATTTTTAAGAAAGTCACCCAGTTTGTCTTTTTGTTTGTGCTGGTTATGTGTGACTGACAAAGGCTGACATGACTTGACTCTGGCAGCCATAATAAAAGAGAGACAACAAGAGAGAGAGCGACAGAGTGATTGAACGAAGAGACACAAAGACAGAGTGGATGCGTTTCTTTAGTAAAGTCACGAAAAAAGCAAAAAGACAAACCGTCAGGAAAGTCTCTGTCACAGAGAACGAGTCTGAGCTAGAGGTGCAAGCAGTCGGGTTTTATGGTCGATGTTGTAAATTTCTTCCTGGTCAAGAAAGACTTCGAAAAAAAATGTTAGATAAAATGATATTTTCAGAAAGGGAAGCTTAATGTAATTGTGAAACAGCTGCTGTTATTAAAAAGGATCTAAAATTAACCAAGAGAAAAGAAGTAAAGATACTTTTAGTTAGTCATGTATAATATTTTGACTCTATATTGAAGGAGTTCTGTCATAATGGCGCTAGGTGTGGGGTTTGGCGGTGGGGGTTTCAGTTACAAGAGAACTGGAAGGAAGAAGACCAACAGCACCACCTGCAGATTTGCACCCCAGGAAATACTAATTTAATAAACCTTAATTATTTTGCAAATTGGTAGTTAAAGCACACAGACTCATTAGTGGCAAGGCAGAAGTATGACAGATTAATTTCAATGGCTTATTTGACAAATCAGTCGCAGTGAGACACATTTGGTGAGTCGCTGGTTGCAACCCTGAGTGAGCCTTTCTCAGTGTAGATTGTCGCCGCAAGTGGCCCCCAGCTAGTTGTATTAATTAGTTATTTTTGCCTTGAGTGGTACTTTAATATGTTTTTTAGCTTTGTGACTGTAGTTGGCTTCTTTTATAAATATTATAATAAAGTAATATTTTAACAAATTTTGTGGGTTTTTGTGTGGTTTTTAACTTGTTTTCTTTTGTTGGAGCACTTATTTTTGAGTTATCGACTTGTACAAATAAAGTATTGAAATTCATCTGTCACACCTTTGCCTTGCCCGTAACAAGTCTGTGTGCTTTGGTTACTAATTGTTGATATAATTTGGGATTATTAGATTAATGTTTACTGAGCTGAAAAAATCCCCTGGTGGCGTTGTTGGTCTTCTTTCCTGCAGTTGTTTTGTAACTGCCCCCTGCCACAATGACATAGACTTATCACTTAACTCAGCAGTTTCCTCAGCTCTGTGAAGCATTTTAGCATCTTTCAGCTATTTTGTTTTACATTCACTGATCACTTTATTAGGTGCACCTTGCTATTACTGCGCTGGACCACCTTACGTTTGCAAATATGCCGTACTTCTTCATGGGATAGATTCAGCGAGGTGCTGGAAACATTCCTGGGAGATTTTGGTCCATTTTGATATGACAGTGTCACACAGTTACTGCAGATTTGTCATGATAGTTGCACATTAATGCTGTCAATCTTCCGTTCCACCACATCCCAAAAGTGCTCTGTTGGATTGACATCTGGAAACTGTGGAGGTCATTTGAATATAGTGCATTGCCATGTTCAACAATCCATTTTGAAATGATTTGAACTTTGTGACATGGTGCATTTTTCTGCAGGAATCAGCCATCAGAACATAGGCACACTGTGGCAATAAAGAGATGGAGAGCAATGACTAGTCAGCAGCAATACTCAGGTAGGCTGTGGCAATGAAAGGATGCTGAGTTGGTACTAAGGGGGGAAAGCGCGCCAAGAAGATTTCCCCAGCACTATTAGACCAGCAGCAGCCTGAACTGTTGAAACACGTCAAAACTAAGGCACGTGTTCATGTTTAGACTAAACTCTGAACCTACTGTCTGCAGGAGAAATTGAGTTATCAAACCAGGCATTTTCTAATTTTCTATTGCCCAATTTCGGTGAGTCGTGATGTCAATCATAGCCTCAGATTTCTGTTCTTAGATGATAGGCACGCCACCCAGGGTGGTCTTCTGCTGCTTCGAGGTCTGAAGTGCATTCCTCAGTTGTTGCAGGTGGTTATTTAAGATATTGTTCTCATGCTATAAACAGCAGTCTGTTCGTTCTCCTCTCGCTGGATATTTTCTCATTTTCAGGCCATTTTCTCGAAGCCCTAGAGATGGCTGTGTGGGGTAATGCCTGGAGATCAGTTTCAGTTCATTTTGCAGCAGTGAGTTGTAGAGAACCTGATATTTATAGAGCAAATGAATAAATCAGAGCTGAAAGGAAAAACAGTAAATGTCAGACTATCAGTAATCAGGTGGACAAGCGTGCAACTCCAATGTAAAAACAGCCAGTTGTTCACTAATATGTTAGCCACATTCATCTAACAAAGCCACTTCTGGCATGTGTAAGCTGCACCCAAGAGAAAAAAATAATAAATGCAGTTTTAGGGACAAACATGATATTCATGGAGAGAAAAATAACCTCAGTTTGTTACTTTGTTGTGTCGTGCACATAAAACGCTGTAGTGCGGAGACATTTGTCAGTCATGGACATAACTTCTTACATTACAGGCAAACTTCTCAGCAATAATAATAACTCATTCACTTTGCTGCACTTCACAGTGTGTCGGGTGTTGATTTTCTGCTTTTGGGACATGTGCTGTCTAATGATGCTGATGTTCACACGCCACGGTTTGCATGAAGTATTACATCCAGCAAAGAGGAAATGGGATTTTTTTTCTGTTTATCTGTCAGTTTCACTAAAAGTGGAGTCTGGCTTAACATAGAAATGATTTAGATGTGGATATGGAAACTTTTTTACAGCTGCAAGACAGGGCAAGGTGCGAGAATATCCAAATCTTTGCAACCACGTATCAAACTGAAAAAACATAAAACAGAGCGATCACCTTGCTGCTCTGAAGAAGATATCAGAGAATAACCTGGATCCATGGACTTAATTCAGTTGAAGGTGTGCCGTCTCGGACGAGTCTTGTTTGTCATGGCAATAAATCAAAAAGAAAAAGGTACGTTCAGGAAGATTTTTATATAACATTGTCTGTTTGGTCATGCGTTCCAACAACTCTGACTTACCTGTCATGCTCTGATCTCCATTCTCTATTATGAGTTGTCAGTACTCAGGGAATGTACTTTCCCTTGTCATAATAACATTTCAG